AACTGTCGACTTCCCTACAGGAGAAACTAGAATAAAGAGAAGGATTCATGAATATATTAAGTAGAAGAAAGTAAAACTAGAAAGGTACCTCATCTTTCGAGAGTGAAGACAACAATGGAATAAGAATGGAAACGTCCTGCGCAGAAACAATTTCATATAAGGCAATGAAAACTGTCTCCGTTCATTGTTACAGATAAAAAGGGACTATGAATTTTCCGCAACAAGTCAAACCTTTAGCTTAGTTTCATATAGATGCTTTACAGTAGCAATAAAATCTGGTGGAGGCACTGTTTCTTGTGTCAATATTTCCAGCACCTTGACATAAAAGAATCATTACGTGTAATTGAGAATTGGAAAATATTTTGAGGGTAAGAGAGATATACAAAAAGAAATGTGTAGGAGCTAACCAATGTCAATAAATTTTCACTTCCTGTAGGAGGGTCAGATACTATTTGGAGAATCTCTGAATACGATGAACCCAATGCCCGCATCAGAATAGGTATATGACGGTGAAATGCCTGAACCATTCCAGAAAATCAGTAAAAAATCAATTTGGTGTTTGTGGGAATCATTTTTTTTCCTCACATAAAGCTTGCAAGGAGAACAATATAAAGAACAGATTGGCATTGATAGACCACACAAATTTTAAAATGTCCCACATCCACTGTATCACCATGTCATGCGAGATGCACACTAGTGAAAGGGGAAGTTGAGTCACCTGTTTTACTGCTTTTGGAGCTCGTCCGTAAACATCAAATACAAGGCGAAGGAGACTAGGTTTCTGGACAAAGTTACCATCTTTGTTAGCTCAGTGAGAAAATTTAGAGAGAGAATACTGTAAATTTAGAAGCACTTCCTGAAATTCCAGCAGACCTTTTTACATAAAGCGAAAAACAGAGATGTTAGTCTCTGAGCTTCAGGAAACGACAAAGCAGAAACGTCATGAGAAGGTTGTACATCCCTTTGAGAACAAACATCAGATGTTCCAGAGCCTAAAACCTGAGAGCTACCCCTGGATGTTCTCTGGCTTTCCACCTGGTAAGAGTTTTAGTAAAAAAAGCTACCCATAAGAAGTCAATTCCATTAAAGGAAGCAAGCCTTTGTGATCAACTAACTACAGCACCCATGGGAAAATTGTGAGGGCTATGAAACCAAGCTAAAAAATAAAAATAAAAACAAAAATCAGGGGATGGAAAAAGAAAAATGGCAAGCAGAAAACTTTTAACACACACAGATCATTGAAAATTCAGTGTCCTTCTAGAGGTGGTATTCTTGAGCTTTGAAAATTCAGTGTACCTCTGTTTCAATTCTTTGTGGTGCAATTCCAGCTTGTGAGAGCTCTGACTCAGAATCTACAGCAGCAAGCAACATATCTGTTGCAAATTGCTCAATATGTTGTGATATGTATGTCAATTGATAGAGTTTGTTTGTGACCTGTGCATACAAGTCAGCCACAGCAACATAAGTGAACACAATATCAACAGTAATGAAAACCATAACCGATCTTCAATAAAGTTACTCACAAGTCGGATAGCTTTTGCCCGTATGTCATCTTCAGAATGAACAGAGCACTGCCATCACAAGTTCACAACATTCATGAGAAACATGGGCAAGCTCGACAAAACCATAAAAACACGAATTTGCAAAAACATGAACATAAACAAGAAAACTCCGAGTGCATCATGATTTGCAAACTAGAAATAATAAGTCCAGTCATTTCAGGTACTTAAACTGAACTGATATCTATTTTATTTGATTAAGCTTGTTGCAGCCATATAATTAAGCTCCATACTGCACCAAGTCCTTGGGTGACACGCTGTTACCAGATCTTATACCCAAAGATTCCCCCTTCATCAGAGATAAGTCCAATAATATGGAAATTGCAGGAAGGTTCTCACCTTCAAAGCTATAGCTAAGCATGCTTGTCGTTCATTCGGACGTCCTATAATTAAGCTCCATACTGCACCAAGTCCTTGGGTGACACGCTCACTATCACGGACTTCTCTTCCATTTGGGTCGGAAACAGAGGAAGAGCAGAGATCATCCAATAGCTTTATGGCGGAATCAGGTAAATGGGGAGCTTCTCCCAAAAGTCTGCTGAAAGACTTGTCTGAAGCAGGGAGAACATCCAACAACGATCGTGCCTAGAGTTTAAATATCCTAATAAGCAAGATTTCAGACACAAAAAACTGAAAAACAAATTAAATAGATGCTTACCACTGCTAAGAGAAAAGTCTCATATACAGTAGAACTGGTAGGAGATTCATCTATGTCCAGCATTGCTGTAGAGTGAAGATGATACAGAACATGTAACACAAGTTCATGCCCCTGCAGAAAAAGTAAGGAAAACCATCAAAGATTTGGAAAATCTACTCATAAGTTTAGATTCTCCGTCCCAAAAAATTCACAAAAAACGAGAAAAAGAAAGGAAAATACATAAACCAAGACACGTGCAAAATTTCACATGTTACAACAGTGATAGGCTTCATTCATGAGGCTACATTATTTGTGAAGCAGAGACCAACTCTTGACATAACAAGGAAGATCATGTGTGTCCAAAACCTAGATAAACGAGGACATTTTTTGGGTTTAAACATGATAAGCAATTAGCAGCAACAGAATACCTTATTTTCTTGATAATCCACAAGAATATGCTCTCTGAGCATTGCTGCAACGTTGTCACCAGCATCAATCTGGATACAGAAAATAACCACCAATTCTAAGAATGCATGAAATAGAAGAAGCTAAGGGGCAGCTCGAGATGGATTTACTTGGTGTAAACTCAAAAGTCAAAAGATGAAAAAATGTCAACGGTCTCCAAAATTGATGAGACAGCCACCACCACCACCACATCACAAGCTCCAGATGAGATGCTCACCTTTGCAATCAACCGAGCAAGCAAATCCATGCGAATCTTGTTAGAGCCAAACCCAGAAACATGCCTATGGGATCCAATTACATGTTTAATAGCCAACTTCTCGATAGTTCTGCATTGCTCTGTGGTTAGCTCAACATATGATGGAACAGATGGCAATTCTCGGTGAGTATCCTCTGAGGCAGTTATGTTTGATGCGGAAGGAGATTGGTGATCAAAATCTATTGAAGATGCCAAATTCAAATCATACTTTGTTTCAGCACCTGAAAACTTCGTCTCCCTGGCATCATCATCAACCTGGCAAGGAGAAAGTGAAATACCTGAAGGTACTTTGCCTTTAGAGAGACTTATACCCTCTTTGGAAGCAGCCAAGACATCCTCTCTGCCATCCAGCTGATCAATTCCAGGGACTGATGAACTCTCCATGAGTTTATTATCACTTTGGACACCTGTCATTGGATGTGCTGGACCACTTGCATCTGCTGTCACAACGGGAGTCAAGAGGTACTTATTTGGTAATACAGAGACATCAATCTCTGGTGAAACTGAGTCTTTTCCCTCGGAACTAGGAAAGGATGCTTGTACCACAGATGCATTTCCCCGCCTTGGGTCCAAGCGGCGAGGATCCTGCAATGGCATGTGTAACATAATCTGCAGAAAGAACATATAGCATATAAACAAGCAACAGGTGAAAGAAGATTGTTACCCTTCTTGGATCACGTCTAGGGTCCGCAACCATACTATTCGAGCTAGGCACTTCAGACAATGATGATCCTACAGCGACAGGTGGAGGTAAAGGAAGTTGTTTTGCCAAAGCTGGAGACAGCATGGAACTTCTAGGAGAAGGAGATGCTGAAATCTCTACTGGGTTACCCAGTGAACCAGCAGACTGATTTACAGGAACATGTGAAAGCCTCGCCAATGGAGGGGGATTCTTAGGCAAGTGTTTCATGTTGCTTATTACAATATCGGCAAGCATATCTGGATGGAGCTTAGAAATGAGAACTTCTAGTGATTCGGCCCCTCTGTCTCCTTCCGCAAGCAAAGCACCAATCATTGCAACCATTTGTTCCACTGGAGTCAAATCACCATCCAAGTTTTGACCACCAGAGGAAAGGCCATTGATAGCCACAGAGTCATGTGGAGCATCACTAGATTGAACTTGACGAACCGAATGCAAGTTAGAATTATAGCGTACACGCTTGGAAGCAACCTCTCCATTAGTTGTATACCCATCATCCTGAGGCATTATCCGTTTCTTTGACAGATCCCAAGAAAGATTTTGATTATTCATCACTTGATTATTCTGGAAATTGGGTTCAACATGAGATTTAGTAAACAATGGGGGTGACAATGAACAACTTAACATTGAACTACAGCAGACCTAGAAAGAAAAAAGGGCTATTACCTTGCCTGACCAATTTTCCCGTGCAACACGTTCATTATTTCTAATCATTTTATCGACTTGACGGACCACTTGATCAGCAGCATCTGCAGCATTCATTGCACGTAAAGCTCTAAGGAGCTTGTCTCTCGACTGGAAGTGCAAATAAAAAACAAAAACTATCAGTAACAGAACAATGTAGTAAAGGAAAATATCCCGTGATGCTTGTAATGTTGTATTTTACATAACACATCATCTTATTCAGACTCTTTTTTACCTAATTACCAGGAAAACTGGGATTGTTATAAACCAGCTGGATATTCAGAGACTTTAATGAATGCATTAATTGAAAAAAAAAAGCCAAGAAACAATTGACATCTTGGTGTCAATAGATACTATGTTGGCAATCTGGCAGCAACAAAGCAACCACAAACCTTGAATTTGGGGGAGCAAAGAAAGATACAAGGTATGTTGTTTGATAATGATTTCAAAAGATGAACCAAAAACAGGCCGGAAGTTGCTATGCCATAGATGAATGACCATACAAAAGCATTTCAAAAGGTAGCAAACAACAAAGTATATAAACTCTACCTCTACAATGGGTGTAATAGTACATCTAAGAAATCCCAGAAAGGCAGTTCTAATTGAATACTGGACACTTGCAGCATGGCATCCCAACGTAGCCTCAAGATCTGGATGAAAATCCAGCAAAGTGGAGAGAACAGTATTGTAATGTACAGGCCTCCTCCTCGCTACTGCTGCAAGACTGTCAAACAAAGGCTACAGTTAGACAAGAAATGGAAATTAAGGTAACAGAGGAAAACTCATTCGAAACTGCAAATTTTTCAGCAATGTCCCCACAAGCATTCATGTTACAATCAGCACAGAAGCATAAATTTCTGATAAAATCAGAAGCTGTCAAGCTGGTTGATTGTTTCTCAATACAAGTTGAGTTGATTGGATCTGGTTAAGAAACCAAATAAGGCCAGCTGAAGTGTGGGTGGAAAATAGTACCCATTGAAAACAAAATGCCAAAAAAGATAGGAAGATACCAATCAAGCAAGCACTTAGGATTCGAAGTTGGGTTCCCAGCGAGCAAAACAAGGAATCATAAATATTACTAAAGTTCACTGCTCAAAATCCCCTCTTATTCTAAGCATGATATAAGAGACAAGACAACCATTGTAGCCTTAACAACAATGTACAATCAGGAGCACCGCATAACACAGTTTGATGCAGCAAACCATCAAAGGTGACAAGATGCAGTTGATTAGGTCAACCGACAGTTCAAACTCAGGCCACAAAGGAAACAAATACGCACACTAGAAACATGTAAACAATTTAAGATAAGAAAGAAAAGAGTAGAATATTTTAACCAAGTTCAACCCATATACACAAATGGTGACAAGATGCAGTTGTTTTGGTCAGCGCCTGGCAGCACAGAACAAAAATTTTTGATGATAATATGAAAGAGAAGAAAGTATGAACTATAAAAATAACAATTCATCAGAAAAAAAAAATCATCTTATAAAAAAGATGGATGCCATCACCTTCAGCAAATAGACAAACCCGCAGGTTCCAAAGAGACAATCATTAAGTTCATCCTACCTTAAGATGCTTTTAGAATATATACGAGCATCTACCACGAATGGAACTAGAGACAGAGCTGAACTGTTTGAGTGATCCTAATGCAGTGACATACCATGAATGAGAAAAAAATTTAATGATCCTAATGCACTGACATACCACGACTTGTAAGCTTCATAACAAAACTTAGCTCAAAAATACTCATGGTATACTAATTGTAACATATAACAACACAACATCAACAAATGATACAATTCTGCATATCTCCCCTGTATCCCAAATGAAGAGAATAAAAAAAATTCACATATCATTAAAACACTCTGAGCAGTCAGAAGTTTGGGTACTGGAAACATGACAGAAAAAAAAAACTCAGTAAAGCTAGCAAAAGTTTGACATACTTCACCAAATGTAGAATTGAGGAGCTTCCATATAACAACAAATCTGTTAGTAAATTGATTAGCCGGCAATGCATCCAAGGTGGGTCAACTTATAACCAACAAATGACCACAAAACTGAACCCCACAAAACCATTACAACGGCATGCAAATGGAGCACAACAGACAATGTTCAACCCGGAATTCCTTTTATTCATCACGTGAGTTCTATATATGTACCGGTAAACAGGATAACTTTTACTCGCAGTGGAGAAAACAGGTCTTACAGGCAGACAACAAACATTTTTCAGAGAACCAAACTAATGCTCACAACTTACACCCAAACATAGTGCAAAACAAGGGAAGTATCCCTTTGCCTAACAGGAAACAAAATAGTGTCCTACATTTCAACTACTTCCACAAATTTCATGATATACTTCCTCTTAATAAATAAAGCTGCATTACATAACCACAGAACTTAAATAGCTCAAGCTGCATAAGAAACACAACAGTCTGAGATAGGGAAGAACCCTAACCCTGATGCCAGCATTCAATTGTCAGCACAAAAACCATTTGCAAACAAATCATGCCTGGAAAACCACATCAACAATAACTGAAGAGCTCTGGACAATCTTTCCAACACAACACGTCATCTGAGGCATTTAAAAAATCAAATCTTTCCATGTGGAGTATAGTATGTTGGCAAATCAATGGCCCATCAGAAGTCAGAACGAAGAACAATGAAAAATGTATGGAGACCGACTCAGTATGAACATAAAAGGGGATAATCCAACTACTGACGCAGCACATATAAAGCTTCCGGGAAGATGTTCATGATCATGCAATGAATCTGCTAGACTAATTACTGCAGTTTTTAAGCTTTTGTCTAACTTATGGAATTACGCTGCACTGTGCAGATATTTCCCATGATCAAACTTGAATTTGCTCTCAGACAGATACTGAACCTCTTGCTTCTCAGTGGTCAAAGATACGACACCAACTTGACATAATAATCTTAAGTTCTGCGTGCATTGCTCACAGGAAAACATAGTTTCAGCAGGTATCTTACAAAACAGCAAGAATCATATGTCAGTCATAATATAAAAAAATGTCAACATATCCTCCATCACAAAGAGATTCTTTATCAACAGATATTTCAATTGTGCATAAACTGTTAATATAGTGTAATGTATACATTTTAAATAGCCCAAACAAAACAGCTGTCAATATATACAGCCAGTGTAAAATAACTAAATAAAAGATTTCTCTAGTATGTTTCCCTGTTACTTGGCAACCACGTTTCTCAATGAGAGTTGATTCTATCCAATGTTTTGTGTCCCTATCACTTGGAAACGAAGCTCCATAGCACCTCAAACAAGGCCAGCAGTGAAAAGCCTTGTAATTGCCAATATGCGATCACTGATGCAGCTTCGACCGAGCCATTAATCCCTCGGAATAAGTTTTCACTTTTCAGTTTGCTGCAATTCTATCATAGGAGTTGAAACTGGAACTAAAACCTGTATCCATGATTGAGTTCTCCTTCCAAAAGTTTAGTAGACACATAAGAGGGCAAATAGCAGCCTATTCTCCCAAGGTCATTGCTTTCATCAAAGCCTATGTCCCATAAAGAACAATGAATTTAAGACAAACAAAACTGCTAGCAGTCGAGCAAGCCTGATGGTGGAAATGCAAGTACAACTCAAAAGCTATACTCTTTCTGCTACAAATCACACTATGAGCAATATGAATACATCAAACTAACTTCGACACAAAATAGCATACAGACTACAGAGTTCCGCAATATGCATGGTTTAAATTCACTTGGAGAAGCATACACAAAAATAAAGAAAACAATCACAGTCAATCAATTTGATCAGATAGCTGTCGGTATACAATGCAAAGATAAATGACCCTTCATAAAGTATTTACTCCATCGCCGATATATTTAGAGTCGATGAGCCATAGGCAGCTTTTATTGTATTCCTGAGTGTTTTTAATATTAAAGGTGCCCCCAATGCAAGATTAACGGATCAACCAGCACACTGAGGAAACATTGCACAGTAAGGAACTGTAACTGCAACAAATGATGATGCAATAAAAAAACTGTAACTGAGGTGAAGCAACTAAACACAACTGCAGTCCCATATAATTCAGGGGAAAAAAAGAACATACAGAAGGGGATAAATAAGATGTAGGCAGAAACATACCAACTAACAACAGTTATTGTCAATGCGCCTGGAAGCCGACCAGCCGACTGTAATAAATCGAATAACATGCCAACTGTCCTCTTTGCATCGGACATCAACATTGAAGGATTCAGAATGGGGTGGCCACCAGAAGTTTGGGAAATGTTGAACCTCCGCCGACCTCCTGTCACAGAATAAGAAAAGTTGACATGCTGCATACACTTAATAAGAAAATAAAAAAAAAAAAGTAAAAAAGTGAAGAAAATAAGCTTTAAAGCAATTCCAGAATCAGAATACAAAACAGATCAAATTAGTAATAGATTTAGAACAACATACCCCCATTGGAAAGTTTCTCAGAATCAGAAGCTTCAGGGGTAAAAAGCAAAACAAACGTCTCCATAAATTTTAGCGCCAAAACCTTCACTCCCACAGAACCAGGCTACAATAATACTACTCTAGTTAGAAAAGCTTTAAAATGGCAGAGGAATAGAACACGAATTTTTTAAACAAAGTACCTGAAACCAAAAGTCGAAAAAGAAAGAGAGAAGGAAGAAGCAAATGGAAGAGACAGTGAGTATACCTCAAATGCAGTAGCAAATACAGCATTTTTGAATTTAATCAGCCACGTCCATAGTTCTCCGGCCCACCGTTCAACATTACCCCGATGAAGAAACTGCAAAGTTGACCAAGACTATAATGCAGCAGCAGGTATAAAAGGGTTATTCGATGTTGAAAAGACTCGCCCTTCTTTGTGTTGCTTACCCAAAAATATCAAAACTTTACAAATATATAAATACTGGATATTTTGTTAGAGGAGTATGAATGATGGAATCATATAGGAAACCAGTAAAACGTGGAGCAGATACTTTTGCTACTGATAAAGAGCCTTTGGTGTTTTATATTCCCTAAAACATTGACACAAAAACCAAGCCAGATTGAAAACCCTATACCCCAAAAAAAAATCCAAAATATTCAAATATACTGCAAAATTATAAGACCATAATATGCAAAAAATATTTTCCCAAAGAACCCGTGTAAAGGATGATATCCTCAAGTGACTAAGGTTCAAGCTAAGGTTCAAGCATAAAGGTAACAGTGAAGAGGGAAATGTTTCTACCGGGTAAGCACCAACACATTAAATTGTAAAGAGCTCACGCAACCAAAACCGCAAACAAGATCACCTAGAAACCAAACGCTCATGCCATATCCAACTTGAGAGAGAGTAAAGACCTGCAATGACGTCTCCTCCAAGAAGCTGCAAAAGAAATTTGAGCCAGAAGAAATTGATTGCTTCGCAACAACAGGATCATTGTCCCTTAACAATGCTAGCAACACAGGCACCAGGACATGAGAATGCTCCATCATCCTCAAACCAACCTCCTCAATAATCCTGTCATCCAAAAGAGACGATCACGGATCACCTAATCTCTTACCATTGCATACAGTTAATCACCATTAATAGCGGTTGAAGTCGGTAAGACAAATAAAACACGAGACCTACTATGCTCTTCCCAACCATTATGCTTATATACAATAGTTTCGCGAAAAAAAAAAAAGAGGGTTTTAGCATAGGAATCTGGATATAAAACAAACAAAAATGCTGAGGAAGCTTCAAATCTTTTAGAGAGAAAAAAACAGAGCATAAGCACACAAAAGTAGCGGAGATTCTGCTATAATATTGCAGAAATTTGATAATTAACCTCTCTTTTTTTCAAATTGGGTAAACAGACCATGGCAACAACACGAGAGAACCCTAAAACACGCGCCAAAGAAAACTCCAACATAATTTAGACCTTTAACAAACGAAACAGCAACGGAAAACGATAACATAGCAAAATCCACTTCAAAAGGCACAAAATTGGACTCACTCGACAAGCGATTTACGGACAAGAGGTTCACGCGACGACTGGAGCTCCGCGAGATAAGGGAAAAGCTCGGCGGCAAGAGATGGGTCCACTGACAACAAAATCTCCTTCACCTGTCGGATAGAGGAGAGCTTCACCGCCAAATCGCCGTGGTTGTTGGTGGCAGCGAGGAGAGAGAGAGCATGGTCCCTTGAAGCAGAAGCCGCCATTGCTAAATTAGGGATTCTGACCGGCGAAACCGCGTCGAAGAAACACAGGGCTTCGAAGAGTGATAACTTTTTTTGCAGTGGCTTATTGTCCCTGGTTAGGGTTTTGATGGATTAAAGAAGAAGAAGAAGTTACAGAACAGCAGAGAAACATCGCAAAGTGAGAGAAAAATAAGGAAAACAAAATAATCATACAGAAAAAGGAAGAGGGATTTCTCAATCTTTATAGGAAGGGCAAGTGGAGAAAAACATTGTGCCATTCTTCTGTTTAATAAAAGAAATGCGCGATGTGTTTTGTACAAAAACCGACAAGTAGTGCAAGCTAGCTGTCCAGAAATGGTCAGGAGCTTCTTAAATAGGGAAAATTGCAGAAATAACCCCAAATATCGTTTCTTACTTCAAGAGATGACCTTCAAGAGATGACCTTCTAGGTTTAAATTTTTTTTTAAAAAAACTAAAACAACAAAAAGACTAGTTTATCCTTAAAAAATTGAATACGTGGCAACCTTCTGTATAGTGAAAAAAAACTTTGAAAATTTCTTTTTTCACTTTTTCTAAAAATTCAAATCGCAAATTTTTTTTTCTCTCCAAAGATATTTCTTGGCGATTCTAACAACAAATTTCTTAATTTTTGTCTTACACTCGACATATTTCTCTAATATGACAAGATCCGACGTTCCAAAGTTGCAGAATTTGAGAATGTATGGAAAGTGTTCGATAAAAATCCTCAGAGAAAATTTGGCTCTTAACACGTCATACTAGTCATATCGGTCAGACTTTGGTTATACCGATCAGATTTTGGTCAGAAGTCACAATTTGGTTAGTCGGTCACACTTTGGGTGAAGATGACTTATGTTAAGAGATTTTTTTATACATGAAATTAGATCACCAAACCGATAAAAATATATATTCTTATAACCCTTATACAACTTTTTGAATCGTTTAAAGTTAATTTAGACCTTTATTTTTCGTGTAAAAAATAATCATACCGGTCACACTTTGATAAGACGGTCAGACATTGGTCATACAATCAAATTTTGGTCAGACGGTCAAACTTCTTGAAAATTGATGAATTTATCATTTTAAAAAAGTGTTAATATGGTATAATAATAATCTCATATACAAATCGGTCAGACGGTCATACTTTGGTCAAAACGATGATATTTTAGTGAGACAATCAGATTTTGGTCATACGGTCAACCTTTGGTCATACCGATCATATCATCAGACTGGTCATAGGGTTATATTGGTCAAACTAGTCCTACTTTTTCAAAAATGATGAATTTACGAATTTAAAAGTGTTGATCAAACATGTTCTTCTTATATAGAATTTTAGCTTATTAGGGTTTCACTTCGATTCGATTCGAATGAACGACATCATTTAAGCTTACACTCGTCAAATTTTTCTTCTATAACGAGATCCGACACACCAAAGTTGAAGAATTTGATAATGTATGGAAAGTGTTTGATGAAAATCCTGAGAGAAATTTTGGCTATCGAAATGTCACACCGGTCAAACCGATCTGATTTTGCTCATGGTGTCAAGAACAACGATGTCATCAACAATGTAACTCCTTCCAAATAAGTTCTAAAGTACTAGTAGTATTTGTGTAATACATTAGATACAATTGACTTATGTTGGAAGATTTTTTTTTACACATTAAATTAGAACTCCAAAATGATGCAATATTATTTTTATAACCCCTATACAACTTTGTTCAAATCGTTTAAATTTAATTTAGACATTTCTTTTTCGTACCCAAATGGTCAGACAGTTATACGGTCAGACGGTCATACCTTAGTCAGATGGTCAGACTTGTTCGAAATTGCATAATTCATCGTTTTAAAAGTGTTTACATAGTAATAATCATATCATATCACAAATTGTTCAAGTTCAAATTCGGTCGTAACAATATGGATTGACCACATTTTTTGTTTGACAATGGAACTCCTTCCAAAGAAGACCTAAAGTACTAGTAGTGTTTGTGTAATATATTGAATACAATTGACTTATGTTGGAAGATTTTTTTTTACACATGAAATTAGAACTCCAAAATGATGCAATAGTATTTTTATAACCCCTATACAACTTTTCAAATCATTTAAATTTAATTTAGACCTTTCTTTTTCGTACCCAAATGATCATATGGTCATACGGTCAGACGATCATACCTTGGTCAGACGGTCAGACTTGTTCGAAATTGCATAATTCATCATTTTAAAAGTATTAACATAGTAATAATCATATCATATCACAAATTTTTCATGTTCAAATCAGTCGTAGCAATATGGATTGACCACATTTTTTGTTTGACAATGTAACTCCTTCCAAAAAAGACCTAAAGTACTAGTAGTGTTTGTGTAATACATTGGATATAATTGACTTATATTGGAAGGTTTTTTTTTACACATAAAATTAGAACTCCAAAACGATGCAGTAGTATTTTTATAACTCATACACAACTTTTCAAATCGTTTAAATTTAATTTAGACATTTCTTTTTCGTATCCAAGTGGTCAGACGGTCATACGATCAGACGGTCATACCTTGGTCAGACGATCAGACTTGTTCGAAATTGCATAATTCATCGTTTTTAAAGTATTAACATAGTAATAATCATATCATATCACAAATTTTTCAGGTTCAAATCAGTCGTAGCAATATGGATTGACCACATTTTTTGTTTGACAATGTAACCCATTCCAAAGAAGACTTAAAGTACTAGTAGTGTTTATGTAACACATTGGACACAATTGACTGGTCTTAGGAGACTTTTTTTCACGTGAAATTATAACTCCAAAATGATGTAATAGTATTCTTATAACCCCTGTACAACTTTTTGAATCGTTTAAATTTAATTTAGGCATTTTTTCGTACCCAAATGGTTAGACGGTCAAATGGTCATACAGTCATACCTTGGTCAGACGGTCAGACTTGTTTAAAATTGCATAATTCATCGTTTTAAAAATGTTAACATAGTAATAATCATATCATATAATAAATTTAATGAGTATGATCAGTTTGGCCATTTTGATGATTATGATCAGCGTTACCAATTTTGTGAGTATAATCATTTTGACCAATTTGACAAGTATGGTCAGTTAGAAGTACGACCAATTTGACCATTCCGACACGTATGTATGACCAGTTTTCCAAATTCTCTCATTTTGATGAATTTCACATATTTAACGATTTCGATCAGTTAGAATAACGTGAATCATGGTATTGCTGATGAAATGCCCAAACTTAATATTGTTTTTTCACAACAAATTTAATAACGTATTTTAGAAACAATATTTACCTATTATTCAGATTTGTATTTAATCGATGAAATGCTCAAACTTAATATTGTTTTTTCACAATAAATTAGCTGAAAAATAGATTGGAAGTGAAGAGAGTTGGAAGATCAGAGAATGGACAAGAAGAGAGAATGTAGTTTGTTCCACATATGCGAATAGAGAGTGAGAGTTGAAATATTTTTTAAAATTAAAATATTAAATAAAAAAGGAATGGTATTTTTGTAATGATACAAGATTATGAGATGGTGTTGATTTTTTTTAAAAAAAAAGAAGAGAGGTCATGCTATGAAGTAAAAATGACATTTAAAGTCATTTTTGCAATTCCCCAGACTGGTTGATTGAGCGATGTATTATATGATATAATATTATTATAAAATACTAAATCCTCTAAAATCGGATTATACGCTAATTTTTTAAAATGCTTGATTCCATATATTAAATATACAAATATCCGAATACATTTGATTATTTTAGAATTTAATATTAATAATGATAAATAATAACATGCAATAATCAAAACCGTATTGTTATTTTTCGTTGATAAATTCGATTTTATTTTAATTAAATCTGTTATATATTTTATTTTTTTAACATAAAATTTAATTTGTTATTGAAGAATTGAGACATATACGTTGAATATTTGGTTTACTTTTACAAATGTTGTAAATTAGTTGTACTAGACGTAATTCTAAAAAGGGAAATTTCCAAAAAAAATCATCCAATTATGAGATAACTATCAGAACTTTTAAAATTTCTAAATTCATACTCGATTTGAATTTTTTGTCTAAAAAATCATTCGAAATTTAAATTTTAACAAAATCTTCATCGGAACAGAATTAATTTTGCCATGTAGGCATAAAGCGCTTACATGGCGCCTACGTGGCATGTACGTGTTCGCCACGTAGGATACACGTGGCATTAATAATAAAAAAATTGAAAAAACGTAAAACAATTATAAAAAATATGAAAAAATTACAAAAAAATGTAAAAAATGTAAAATTGTAAAAATATTTTCAAAAAATGTAAAAAATGTAAAAATTATAAAAATTGTAAAAAAATTGCAAAAAATTATAAAAATTGTAAAAAATGTAAAATTGCAAAACATTTTCAAAAAATGTAAAAAATTGTAAAAATTGTAAAAAGTATAAAATTGTAAAGTTCGTGATGAATTTGATAGTTATCTCGTAACTAGATGATTTTTTTTTTGGAAATTTCCTTTTTTTTTAAAATAAATTAAAATTTTATAATTTTTTAAAATTTTTTTTACATTTTTTGAAAATATTTTACATTTTATTACAATTTTACATTTTTTTTACAATTTTTATAATTTTTTTGCATTTTTTTTTACAATTTTTTACAATTTTTATAATTTTTACATTTTTTTGTAATTTTTTCCACATTTTTTATAATTTTTTTACATTTTTTCCAATTTTTTATAATTTTTTTATTATTAATGTCACGTGTATCCTTTTTATATAGGAATATATATATTTATTTATATTTATATATAGATATGAAAATATATATATATATATATGTATTTTTTTTAAATTTTTTTTAATTTTGTTAATTTGTTTTATTTTTTTTGATTTTTTCCAGAATTTTTTTAAATCTGACGTGATATGCTGACGTGATAAAAAATTCTATGTGGTGTGTTACGTCAGTTGCCACGTGGCATGCCACATCAGCTATTAACAGACACTTAACATCGTTTTTAGATTGTGTAGAAAATTATAGTTAAATTGAGTATTTCGTGTATCAATTTGGCACATTTGATAATTTGGTGTGAGTTTTTGTCAAATTAAAAATTCGTATAGGAAAATGTCATATTTTACAAAATACGTATAGGAAAATGTCATTCTTCCTAATAAAAATATCGAGCT